TGTCCCTCAGCGTGTGTGGACGGCACTGTGTGTGTGTGTGTGTCCCTCAGCGTGTGTGGACGGCACTGTGTGTGTGTGTGTGTGTCCCTCAGCATGTGTGGACGGCACTGTGTGTGTGTGTGTGTGTCCCCAGCGTGTGTGGATGGCACTGTGTGTGTGTGTGTGTCCCTCAGCGTGTGTGGATGGCGCTGTGTGTGTGTGTGTGTCTCTCAGCGTGTGTGGACGGCGCTGTGTGTGTGTGTGTGTGTCCCTCAGCGTGTGTGGACGGCACTGTGTGTGTGTGTGTGTCCCTCAGCGTGTGTGGACGGCACTGTGTGTGTGTGTGTGTCCCTCAGAGTGTGTGGACGGCACTGTGGTGTGTGTGTGTGTCCCTCAGCGTGTGTGGACGGCACTGTGTGTGTGTGTGTGTGTGTGTCCCTCAGCGTGTGTGGACGGCACTGTGTGTGTGTGTGTGTGTGTCCCTCAGCGTGTGTGGACGGCACTGTGTGTGTGTGTGTGTCCCCAGCGTGTGTGGACGGCACTGTGTCTGTGTGTGTGTGTGTGTCCCCAGCGTGTGTGGATGGCACTGTGTGTGTGTGTGTGTCCCTCAGCGTGTGTGGATGGCACTGTGTGTGTGTCTGTGTGTCTCTCAGCGTGTGTGGACGGCACTGTGTGTGTGTGTGTGTGTGTGTGTCCCTCAGCGTGTGTGGACGGCACTGTGTGTGTGTGTGTGTGTGTCCCTCAGCGTGTGTGGACGGCACTGTGTGTGTGTGTGTGTGTGTCCCTCAGCGTGTGTGGACGGCACTGTGTGTGTGTGTGTGTGTCCCTCAGTGTGGACGGCACTGTGTGTGTGTGTGTGTGTGTCCCTCAGCGTGTGTGGACGGCACTGTGTGTGTGTGTGTGTGTGTGTCCCTCAGCGTGTGTGGACGGCACTGTGTGTGTGTGTGTGTGTGTCCCCAGCGTGTGTGGACGGCACTGTGTGTGTGTGTGTGTGTGTGTGTCCCTCAGCGTGTGTGGATGGCACTGTGTGTGTGTGTGTGTGTGTCCCCAGCGTGTGTGGACGGCACTGTGTGTGTGTGTGTGTCCCCAGCGTGTGTGGATGGCACTGTGTGTGTGTGTGTGTCCTCAGCGTGTGTGGACGGCACTGTGTGTGTGTGTGTGTGTCCCCAGCGTGTGTGGATGGCACTGTGTGTGTGTGTGTCCCTCAGCGTGTGTGGACGGCACTGTGTGTGTGTGTGTGTGTGTGTCCCTCAGTGTGGATGGCACTGTGTGTGTGTGTGTGTGTGTGTGTCCCTCAGCGTGTGTGGACGGCACTGTGTGTGTGTGTGTGTGTCCCTCAGCGTGTGTGGACGGCACTGTGTGTGTGTGTGTGTGTCCCTCAGTGTGGATGGCACTGTGTGTGTGTGTGTCCCTCAGTGTGGATGGCACTGTGTGTGTGTGTGTGTGTCCCTCAGCGTGTGTGGACGGCACTGTGTGTGTGTGTGTCCCTCAGCGTGTGTGGACGGCACTGTGTGTGTGTGTGTGTGTGTGTCCCTCAGCGTGTGTGGACGGCACTGTGTGTGTGTGTGTCCCTCAGCGTGTGTGGACGGCACTGTGTGTGTGTGTGTGTCCCTCAGCGTGTGTGGACGGCACTGTGTGTGTGTGTGTGTCCCTCAGCGTGTGTGGACGGCACTGTGTGTGTGTGTGTGTGTGTCCCTCAGCGTGTGTGGACGGCACTGTGTGTGTGTGTGTGTCCGTCAGCGTGTGTGGACGGCACTGTGTGTTTGTGTGTCCCTCAGCGTGTGTGGACGGCACTGTGTGTGTGTGTGTGTGTCCCTCAGTGTGGATGGCACTGTGTGTGTGTGTGTGTCCCTCAGCGTGTGTGGACGGCACTGTGTGTGTGTGTGTGTGTCCCTCAGTGTGGATGGCACTGTGTGTGTGTGTGTGTGTGTCCCTCAGCGTGTGTGGACGGCACTGTGTGTGTGTGTGTGTGTCCCTCAGCGTGTGGACGGCACTGTGTGTGTGTGTGTGTGTCCCTCAGCGTGTGTGGATGGCACTGTGTGTGTGTGTGTGTGTGTCAGCGTGTGTGGACGGCACTGTGTGTGTGTGTGTGTGTCCCTCAGCGTGTGGACGGCACTGTGTGTGTGTGTGTGTGTCCCTCAGCGTGTGTGGATGGCACTGTGTGTGTGTGTGTGTGTGTCCCTCAGTGTGTGTGGACGGCACTGTGTGTGTGTGTGTGTGTGTCCCTCAGTGTGTGTGGACGGCACTGTGTGTGTGTGTGTGTGTCCCTCAGCGTGTGTGGATGGCACTGTGTGTGTGTGTGTGTGTCCCTCAGCGTGTGTGGATGGCACTGTGTGTGTGTGTGTGTGTCCCTCAGCGTGTGTGGATGGCACTGTGTGTGTGTGTGTGTGTGTCCCTCAGCGTGTGTGGACGGCACTGTGTGTGTGTGTGTGTGTCTCTCAGCGTGTGTGGACGGCACTGTGTGTGTGTGTGTGTGTGTCCCTCAGCGTGTGGACGGCACTGTGTGTGTGTGTGTGTGTGTGTCCCTCAGCATGTGTGGACGGCACTGTGTGTGTGTGTGTCTCTCAGCGTGTGTGGACGGCACTGTGTGTGTGTGTGTGTGTCCCTCAGCGTGTGTGGACGGCACTGTGTGTGTGTGTGTGTGTCCCTCAGCGTGTGTGGACGGCACTGTGTGTGTGTGTGTGTGTGTCCCTCAGCGTGTGTGGACGGCACTGTGTCTGTGTGTGTGTGTGTGTCCCCAGCGTGTGTGGATGGCACTGTGTGTGTGTGTGTGTCCCTCAGCGTGTGTGGACAGCACTGTGTGTGTGTGTGTGTCTCTCAGCGTGTGTGGACGGCACTGTGTGTGTGTGTGTGTGTCCCTCAGCGTGTGTGGACGGCACTGTGTGTGTGTGTGTGTGTCCCTCAGCGTGTGTGGACGGCACTGTGTGTGTGTGTGTGTGTGTCCCTCAGCGTGTGTGGACGGCACTGTGTCTGTGTGTGTGTGTGTGTCCCCAGCGTGTGTGGATGGCACTGTGTGTGTGTGTGTGTCCCTCAGCGTGTGTGGACAGCACTGTGTGTGTGTGTGTGTCTCTCAGCGTGTGTGGACGGCACTGTGTGTGTGTGTGTGTGTGTCCCTCAGCGTGTGTGGACAGCACTGTGTGTGTGTGTGTGTGTCCCTCAGCGTGTGTGGACGGCACTGTGTGTGTGTGTGTGTCCCTCAGCGTGTGTGGACGGCACTGTGGTGTGTGTGTGTGTCCCTCAGCGTGTGTGGACGGCACTGTGTGTGTGTGTGTGTGTCCCTCAGCGTGTGTGGACGGCACTGTGTGTGTGTGTGTGTGTGTCCCTCAGCGTGTGTGGACGGCACTGTGTCTGTGTGTGTGTGTGTGTCCCCAGCGTGTGTGGATGGCACTGTGTGTGTGTGTGTGTCCCTCAGCGTGTGTGGACAGCACTGTGTGTGTGTGTGTGTGTCTCTCAGCGTGTGTGGACGGCACTGTGTGTGTGTGTGTGTGTCCCTCAGCGTGTGTGGACGGCACTGTGTGTGTGTGTGTGTGTCCCTCAGCGTGTGTGGACGGCACTGTGTGTGTGTGTGTGTGTCCCTCAGTGTGGACGGCACTGTGTGTGTGTGTGTGTGTGTGTTTGTCCCTCAGCGTGTGTGGACGGCACTGTGTGTGTGTGTGTGTGTGTGTGTCCCTCAGCGTGTGTGGACATATTTAAATATCCCTCCTGCCTTGTTTCTTGCTTCCCCTCATCTACGTGTAATATTTTCTATTTCCCAAGCACCCCGGGGTGAACCCCAACACTCCCGGAGGAAGGAGGGAGAGGCTGTTGTGACCTCCCACGAGCAGGTGGGACCCGCCGTCCTTGTCCTTCTAATTCCGGAAGGTGTCACATTCCCCAGGCCTGAGGTCACGCTGGCCGGGGGCCCCGGCTGGCTTTGCAAGGTCCTGCGATGTGGGCGCTGGGGCTCCCCCCCCTTCTCTGCATCTTCCTTCCTCCCCGGCAGCCCCAGTGGAAAAGCATTTCCTCGTGGCCATCTCAGCGCTCCCTCGTCTCCGGTGTCCACCCGCCCCGGGCCTCTGTGCCAGGCCCCAGGGACTGACCGCCGTGCCCGGCCGGGGTGGCTAAATCGGGCGGGTGCATTCCTGCCGCCAACCCTGACTGTGGATTAATCCCCCGGCCGGGGCAGGAATGTGGCCACGGAATGCTGAGGCCAGCAGAGCTGCTGAGAGCCCGTCCCTGGCACCCACCCGGGCACAGCAGCTCCAGGGAGACATTTCCCAGGCTGGGAGGTCGGGGAGGGGTGGGGGGGGTGGCAGGGACACAGCAAGGGGCACAGAGGAGGCTCAAAACCACCCCCCCCCAGGTCCCACCACTGACGAGGAGACGGTGAGAAGACCCCACCAGAGCTCAGAGCCGCACATCTGACCCTGCTCTGCCCAGCAGCTGCGCCCCACATGCCACTGTCCCGGGGAACAGGCAGCACTGGGCGGACCAGCCCCCTGAACTGCACCCACAGTCCCACAGCGGCAGCTGTGTGTGTGTGTCACGTGGGATTTTCCTTAGAAACCTAAAGACGTTTGAGGCCGGGTACACCGGGTCACACCTGTAGGGACAGAACCTTGGGAGGCCAAGGCGGGAGGCCCGCTGGAGGTTGAGGCCAGGATTTTGAGACGGGGCAATATAGCAAGACCCCAACTATGCCATATTTTTTTTTTTTTTTGAGACACAGTCTCGCTCTGTCGCCCAGGCCGGAGTGCAATGGTGCGGTCTTGGCTCACTGCAACCTCTGCCTCCCGGGTTCAAGCGATTCTCCTGCCTCAGCCTCCCGAGTAGCTGTGATCACAGGCACCCCCACGACACCCAACTAATTTTTGTATTTTTAGTACAGACGGGGTTTCAGCATGTTGTCCAGGCTGGTCTCGAACTCCTGACCTCGTGATCCGCCCCCCCCCCCCAGCCTTAGTTAATTGTAAGCAGAGCTGGGCGTTAGGTTTCGTATTAAACAGCAAAACTCACCACACAGCAAACTCCAAATTACAGGATTTCATTTTTACTATTTTTGCTTTTATTTAATTACATTTCTCAAGAGCTACTTGGGAGGCTGACGCAGGAGAATCGGCTGAACCCAGAGGGTGGAGGCTGCGGGGAGCCAAGATCACGCCACTGCGGTCCAGCCTGGGCAGCACAGCAAGACCCCAACTGGAAAAAAATAAAAGTTTCATAGCAACAGTGAAAAGAGGTTGGACACAAGCCAGGAAAGGCCCTGAAATTTATATGACTAAACAGGTAAATCCAGTTAATAAAAAAAACGTTTTAGCCACAAGAAATACGTATATAAGCCCCATTTTTTTTTTTTGGAGACAGGGTGTCACTGCAACCGCTGCCTCCCGGGTTCAAGGGATTCTCCTGCCTCAGCCTCCCGAGTAGCTGGGACTACAGGCACCCGCCGCCACACCCCGTTGATTTTTGCATTTTTATTAGAGGTTTCACCCTGTTGGCCGGGCTGGTCTCGAACTCCCGACCTCAGGTGATCCATCCGCCTCGACGTCCCAAAGTGCTGGGAGCCCAGGCACGAGCCACTGTGCCTGGGCCAAGGAGAACCTCCTTCTCCAAAAAGAAAGAGAGAAAAAAAAAAATGGGGTTTGCCTTTGGAAACCCCAAAGGAAAGAGGTTTAAGGGAGTCCCTGTGTGGACAGGCCTTGCGGTCGTCGTGGAAAATGCACGAGGAAAAAAGCCACGTCTTCCACGGCACCAGGGAAGGACACGGCACGTTCAGGGAGCTCCCACCTATAAAACCATCCGATCGGCCGGGCACGGTGGCTCACGCCTGTCATCCCAGCACTTTGGGAGGCCGAGGCGGGTGGATCAGGAGGTCAGGAGTTCGAGACCATCCCGGTCAACGTGGTGAAATCCCATCTGTACTAAAAACACAAAAAATCAGCTGGGCTTGGTGGCACGTGCCTGTAGTCCCAGCTACTCGGGAGACTGAGGCAGGAGCATCGCTTGAACCCAGGAGTTTGAGGCGGGAGAATCCCAAGGTCAGGAGTTCGAGACCATCCTGGCCAACATGGTGAAACCCCATCTCGCCGGGCGCGGTGGCTCAAGCCTGTCATCCCAGCGCTTTGGGAGGCCGAGGCGGGTGGATCAGGAGGTCAGGAGTTCGAGACCATCCCCGTCAACATGGTGAAACCCCGTCTCTAGTAAAAATACAAAAATCAGGCCAGGCACAATGGCTCACGCCTGTAATCTCAGCACTTTGGGAGGCCGAGGCGGGTGGATCACAAGGTCAAGAGATCGAGACCATCCCCATCAACATGGTGAAACCCCGTCTCTACTAAAAATACAAAAAATCAGCTGGGCCTGGTGGCGCGTGCCTGTAATCCCAGCTACCGGGGAGACTGAGGCAGGAGAATTGCCTGAACCCGGGAGGCGGAGGTTGCGGTGAGCCGAGATGGTGCCATTGCAGTCCAGCCTGGGTAACAAGAGCAAAACTCCATTTCAAAAAAAAAAAATATATATATATATATATTAGGCAGGGCTGCTGGGAGTCCCCTGCAATGCCAGCTACTGGGGAGACTGAGGCAGGAGAATCCCTTGAACCCTGGAGGCGGAGGCTGCAGGGAGCCAAGAGACACAGCCGACTGCTATTTCAGAAAGCCACGTCCGTCGAGCAACCCGGCCTTCGAACCCCGAACCCAGAGGACGCGTGGACTCTCTCCCAAGCCCACAAGAACATGGTTCAAAACCAAGCAGGTCAGCGAGCTCGGGCATCCCTCAGTGTCTTCCCTGTCACCGCAAAACCTCAGCCATTCCTGCTTCCTCCAGCTGCCCTCCAAAAATAGTGGCACTTGGGCAGGCCCGGTATCAAGTGACGGGCGCAGAGCTTAGTCCCGCAGGGGCCGTCTGGGGGCTTTGCACGGGAGGCTTTTAGAGCGTAAAGGCCATGCACGGCGTCACCTGCCTCTTCCCCTTGTCCCTCGGCCAGGAAATCCCCTCCCACCGTCACCCACGAGGCGTCCCGGGACACAGAGTCCCTACGACCTCCTTTTTATTTAGTTATTTATTTTGTAAGGACAGGGTCCTGGTAGGTGGCCCAGGCTGGTCTCGAACTCTCGGCCTCCCAGAGTGCCGGGACCGCAGGTGTGAACAGCCGTGCGCTCTTCCGTTTAAGGGCTGAGATTCACGTGTCATCCCGGCTGTCTGTGTCCTCTGAGCGCTTCCCTGTGTGTTTAGACCATTTTTCCTGTGTTTTTGGAGACGGAGTTTTGCTCTGTGGGCCAGGCTGGAGAGAGGGGGCCCGATCTCGGCTCACCGCGACCTCCGCCTCCCGGGTTCAAGGGATCCTCCTCCCTCAGCCTCCCGAGTAGCTGGGGCGCTGGGCTAATTTTGTGTATTTTAGCAGAGATGGGGTTTCTGTGTGTTGGTCTGGCCGGTCTTGAACTCCCAACCTCAGGTGATGCTCCTGCCTCGGCCTCCCAAAGTGCTGGGATTATAGGCCTGAGCCACCGTGCCTGGCCCTAATTTTAATTCTCAATCTTTATTTTTATTTATTTTTGGAGACAGAGTCTCGCTCTATCCCCCCCAGGCTGGAGTTCAGCGGCCCGACCTCAGCTCACGGCAACCTCCGCCTCCCGGGTTCAAGTGATTCTTCTGCCTCAGCCTCCTGAGGAGCTGGGACTACAGGTCCCAGGCTCTCTAAAAATACAAAAGTCGGCCACGCACCACTACGCCCGGCTAATTTTGGTATTTTTTGTAGAGACGGGGTCTCACCATGTTGGCCAGGCTGGTCTCGAACTCCCGACATCAGGGGATCCGCCCGCATCAGCCTCCCAAAGTGCTGGGACCACAGGCAGGGAACATCACACCTGGATAATATTTTATTTTTTGTAGAGATGGGAATTTGGGACTGAGGCATTTTTCAACTCAGGATGAGTTTACGAGGATGTAACCCCATCATAATTTGAGCAGTAACTGTAATATCATAAATATAATGAATATTGTTTCATATTATGTAAATGTATTGTATATATGTGCATGTATAATAATGTATATATAATATGCACCGTATTATAATAATGTGCATATATATAACGTGTGCATTCTAGATATTCACGTGCGTATATAATGTATATATAATATGCACCATATTAAAATAATGTGCTCATATATAATGCAGATGCCTCATAGATATAAATGTGCATATATAATAATGTATATATAAAATGCACCATGCTAATGTGCTCATATATAATGCAGATGCCTCAGAGATATACATGTGCATATATAATAATGTATATATAAAATGCACCATGCTAATGTGCTCATATATAATGCAGATGCCTCATAGATATAAATGTGCATATATAATAATGTATACATAAAATGCACCATGCTAATGTGCTCATATATAATGCAGATGCCTCAGAGATATACATGTGCATATATAATAATGTATATATAAAATGCACCATGCTAATGTGCACATATACAATGCAGATGCCTCATAGATATAAATGTGCATATATAATAATGTATATATAATATGCACCATGCTAATGTGCACATATATAATGCAGATGCCTCATAGATATAAATGTGCATATATAATAATGTATATATAAAATGCACCATGCTAATGTGCACATATATAATGCAGATGCCTCAGAGATATACATGTGCACGTATAATAATGTATATATAATATGCAACGTATTATAATAATATGCATATATATAACATATGGACATTCTAAATATTCACGTGCATATATATGGTATATATAATATGCACCGTATTAAAATGTGCTCATATATAATGCAGATGCCTCATAGATATATATGTGCATGTATAATAATGTATATATAATATGCATTGTATTATAATATGTGCATATATATAACATATGGGCACTATAGATATTCATGTGCATACATAATGTATATATAATGTGCTCATATATAATGCAGATCCCTTATAGACATAAATCTGCATATATAATGTATATAAATATTCACTGTATTATAATGTGCACATATATAACATAGGCACATTATAGATATACATGTGCATATATAATGTATATATAATATGCACCGTATTATAATAATATGCATATATATAACATATGTGCATTATAGATACACATGTGCATATATAATGTATATATAATATGCACTGTGTTATAATAATGTGCATATATATAACATATGTGCATTATAGATATACATGTGCATATATAATGTATATATAATATGCACTGTGTTATAATAATGTGCATATATATAACATGTGCATTGTAGATATACATGTGCATATATAATGTATATATAATATGCACTGTATTATAATAATGTGCATATATATAACATGTGCATTATAGATATACATGTGCATATATAATGTATATATAATATGCACTGTATTATAATAATGTGCATATATATAACATGTGCATTATAGATATACATGTGCATATATAATGTATATATAATATGCACTGTATTATAATAATGTGCATATATATAACATGTGCATTGTAGATATACATGTGCATATATAATGTATATATAATATGCACTGTATTATAATAATGTGCATATATATAACATGTGCATTATAGATATACATGTGCATATATAATGTATATATAATATGCACTGTATTATAATAATGTGCATATATATAACATGTGCATTGTAGATATACATGTGCATATATAATGTATATATAATATGCACTGTATTATAATAATGTGCATATATATAACATGTGCATTATAGATATACATGTGCATATATAATGTATATATAATATGCACTGTATTATAATAATGTGCATATATATAACATGTGCATTGTAGATATACATGTGCATATATAATGTATATATAATATGCACTGTATTATAATGTGCATATATATAACATGTGCATTATAGATATACATGTACATATATAATGTATATATAATATGCACTGTATTATAATAATGTGCATATATATAACATATGTGCATTATATACATGTACATATATAATGTATATATAATATGCACCGTATTATAATAATGTGCATATATATAACATATGTGCATTACATACATGTGCATATATAATGTATATATAATATGCACTGTATTATAATAATGTGCATATATATAACATGTGCATTATAGATATACATGTGCATATATAATGTATATATAATATGCACTGTATTATAATAATGTGCATATATATAACATATGTGCATTATATACATGTACATATATAATGTATATATAATATGCACCGTATTATAATAATGTGCATATATATAACGTGCATTATAGATATACATGTGCATATATAATGTATATATATGCACTGTATTATAATAATGTGCATATATATAACATGTGCATTATATACATGTGCATATATAATGTATATATAATATGCACTGTATTATAATAATGTGCATATATATAACATATGTGCATTACATACATGTGCATATATAATGTATATATAATATGCACTGTATTATAATAATGTGCATATATATAACATGTGCATTATAGATACACATGTGCATATATAATGTATATATAATATCACTGTATTATAATGTGCACATATGGAATGCAGACATATATACATGTACATATAAAATGCATATATGTACCATGGTATAATGTGCATATATACAATGTATGCTCATTACATAGACATATGCATGTTTGTATAATATGCAACGTGTTATCTATGTGCATATGTATATAATGCAGTCTTAACATGTAATGTTTAATATATAACAGCATTACATCAAGCATGTACTGTCCTATATTGCTACAATACGTATACACGTTATATATGTGACATGTGTATGTACCTTATAAAACAGATCGCTAATAGATTAAATATTTCAAACTGCATATTATATTGCACTGATGTCACCCTTCCCAGGGCTGTCACCCTTCCCAGGACCCCTGGTCCATGTCATCTTTTCGACCTCTGCCTCCCTGAGCACAGTGGGATCACAAACAGGGGCCGTGGCCTGAGAAATTCACCGCCCGTGCATTGACCAACCAATCCATCGATCTCACCTGTCAACTGTCTACCTGCCTATCTATATGTCTATGTATCATCTGTCATCATGTATCCATCCATTCTATCTATCCATCCACCTATCATCCATTTATCATCTGTCCATCCACCATTTATGTATCCATCCATCCACTGTATCCATCCATCATCTGTCCATCCACTTATCATCCATTTATCATCTGTCCATCATCCACCATTTATGTATCCATCCATCCACTGTATCCATCCATCATCTGTCCATCCACCTAGCATCTATCCATTTATCATCTGTCCATCATCCACCATTTATGTATCCATCCATCCACTGTATCCATCCATCATCTGTCCATCCACCTATCATCCATTTATCATCTGTCCATCATCCACCATTTATGTATCCATCCATCCACTGTATCCATCCATCATCTGTCCATCCACCTAGCATCTATCCATTTATCATCTGTCCATCATCCACCATTTATGTATCCATCCATCCACTGTATCCATCCATCATCTGTCCATCCACCTATCATCCATTTATCATCTGTCCATCATCCACCATTTATGTATCCATCCATCCACTGTATCCATCCATCATCTGTCCATCCACCTAGCATCCATTTATCATCTGTCCATCATCCACCTATTATGTATCCATCCATCCACTGTATCCCTCCATCAATCATCTATCCACCCACCTATCATCCATCCATTCATCCATATCTACCATCAATCCATCCATCTACATATCATCCATCCATTCTATGTATCTATCAATCCAATCTCTCCATCCATCCATCCATATCTCTCATCTATCCATCCATGCATCCATATCTATCATCAATCCATCCATCTACATATCAACTATCATCCATCCACTCTACGTATCTATCCATCCAATCTCTCCATCCATCCATCCATCCATCCAATCTCTCATCCATCCATCCATCCATCTACATATCAACTATCATCCATCCATTCTACGTATCTGTCCATCCAATCTCTCATCCATCCATCCATCCATCTCTCATCTATCCATCCATCCATCCATCCATATCATCAATCCATCCATCTACATATCAACTATCATCCATCCATTCTATGCATCGGTCCATCAAATGTTTCATCCATCCATCCATCCATCCATCCATATCTATCATCAATCCATCCATGTATCAACTATCATCCATCCATTCTACGTATCTATCCATCCAATCTCTCCATCCATCCATCCAATCTCTTATCCATCCATCCATATCTCTCATCTATCCATCCATCCATCCATCCATATCTCTCATCTATTCATCCATCCATCCACCCATATCTATCAATGCATCCATCTACATATCAACTATCATCCATCCATTCTATGTATCTATCCATCCAATCTCCCATCCATCCGTGCAATCTCTCATCCATCCATATCTCTCATCCATCCATCCATCCATCCATATCTATCAATCCATCCATCTACATATCAAGTATCATCCATCCATTCTACGTATCTATCCATCCAATCTCTCCATCCATCCATCCATATCTCTCTATTCATCCATCCATCCACCGATATCTATCAATCCATCCATCTACATATCAACTATCATCCATCCATTCTATGTATCTATCCATCCAATCTCCCATCCATCCGTGCAATCTCTCATCCATCCATCCATCCATATCTCTCATCTATCCATCCATCCATCCATCCAATCTCTCATGCATCCATCCATCCATCCATATCTCTCATCTATTCATCCATCCATCCACCCATATCAATGCATCCATCTACATATCAACTATCATCCATCCATTCTATGTATCTATCCATCCAATCTCCCATCCATCCGTGCAATCTCTCATCCATCCATCCATCCATCCATATCTATCCATCCATCCATCTACATATCAAGTATCATCCATCCATTCTACATATCTATCCAACCAATCTCTCAATCCATCCATCCATCCATCCATCCAATCTCTCCATCCATCCGTCCAATCTCTCATCCATCCATCCATCCATATCTCTCATCTATCCATCCATCCATCCATCCATATCTATCAATCCATCCATCTACATATCAGGTATCATCCATCCATTCTACATATCTATCCATCCAATCTCTCCATCCATCCATCCATGCAATCTCTCCATCCATCTGTCCAATCTCTCATCCATCCGTCCATCCATCCATCCATGTCTATCAATCCATCCATCTACATATCAACTATCATCCATCCATTCTACGTTTCTATCCATCCAATCTCCCATTCATCCATCCATCCATCCAATCTCTCATCCATCCATCCATCCATGTCTATCAATCCATCCATCTACATATCAACTATCATCCATCCATTCTACGTATCTATCCATCCAATCTCCCATCCATCTATCCATCCATCCAATCTCTCATCCATCCATCCATCCATCCATCCATGTCTATCAATCCATCCATCTACATATCAACTATCATCCATCCATTCTACGTTTCTATCCATCCAATCTCCCATTCATCCATCCATCCATCCAATCTCTCATCCATCCATCCATCCATGTCTATCAATCCATCCATCTACATATCAACTATCATTCATCCATTCTACGTATCTATCCATCCAATCTCCCATTCATCCATGCATCCATCCAATCTCTCATCTATCCATCCATTCATCCATCCATCCATCCATCCATCCATCCAATCTCTCATCCATCCATCCATCCATCCATCCATCCAATCTCTCATCCATCCATCCATCCATCCATCCAATCTCTCATCCATCCATCCATCCATCCATCCAATCTCTCATCCATCCAACCAATCTCTCATCCATCCATCCATCCAATCTCTCATCTATCCATCCATCCAATCTCTCATCCATCCATCCATCCACCCATATCTCTCATCTATCCATTCGTCTACCATCCATCTATCCAATTGTATCTATGTATCAATCTATCATCTATCTACCTGTCATCTATCATGCATCTGTCCCTTCTATGTATCTATCCGTCCATCCTACCTATCCATTGCATCTATCGGTCTATTATCGACCCCTCCGCGTGTCTGCGTATCATCTATCATTGATCTATCCATTCTGTGTCTCTGTCCATCCATCCTATCATCGATCCATTGTATCTATCTACGTATCAACCTGCCCATCGTGTGTATCTACCTGTCATCCATCTACCTGTCTACATATTCAGCCCAACTATATTTGTGTCATTGATGATCCCTAGACACCCCCCATCATCTAGCAATGTCTACTGATTCATCAATGGTCCACGTACCTGTCACCTGTCTCTGTTCCCTGCGTGTATCTCATCCACCCTCTTTCTGTCCGTCAGGTGTGCTCCCCGTTAATCCTGTGTCCGGAGGGAGAACTGAGGTTTGAATGTGACTTGCAGCTTCTGGTCCAAGTCACCCACCCAAGGTCATGAGCAGAGGAAGAACTCACACGAGCTCAGGCGCTGACACAAGGATGGGGTTTATTTAAAGTGGGTCACACAGGGCCGGGGCGTGGTGGCTCAGGCCTGTGATCCCAGCACTTTGGGAGGTCGAGGCGGGTGGATCACGAGGTCAAGAGATCGAGACCACCCTGGGCAACGTGCTGAAACCCCATCTCTACTAAAAAAAAAAAAAAAAAAATACAAAAAATTAGCTGGGCATGGTGGTGCGCGCCAGTAATCCCGGCTACTGGGTAAACTGAGGCAGGAGAATCGCCTGAACCCAGGAGGCGGAGGTCGCGGTGAGCTGAGGTCTCATCATTGCACTCCAGCCTGGGAGACAGGGCGAGACTCCGTGTCAAAAAAATATATATGAAAATTAAAAATTGGCCGGGCTTGTTGGCTCAGGCCTGTCATCCCAGCAGTTTGGGAGGCCGAGGCGGGTGGATCACGAGGTCAAGAGATCGAGACCACCCTGGGCAACATGGTGAAACCCCGTCTCTACTAAAAAAAAAAAAAAATACAAAAAATTAGCTGGGCGTGGTGGTGCGCGCTTGTAATCCCGGCTACTGGGGAAACTGAGGCAGGAGAATCTGCTGAATCCAGGAGGCGGAGGTTGCGGTGAGCCGAGGTCCCGCCATTGCACTCCAGCCTGGGTGACAAGAGCGAAATTCTTGGGGCTGGGAGTTTGAGACCAGCCTGGGAAACAGAGTCAGGCCCGTGTCCGTGAAGAGAGAAAGACACAATTCAAAAAAAGAGACGGCGGCTGAAGCCTGTGATCCCAGCACTTTGGGAGGCCGAGGCGGGTGGATCACGAGGTCAAGAGATCGAGACCACCCTGGGCAACATGGTGAAACCCCGTCTCTACTAAAAAAAAAAAAAAAAAAAAATACAAAAAATTAGCTGGGTGTGGTCATGTGTGCCTGTAATCCCGGCTACTGGGGAAACTGAGGCAGAAGAATTGCCTAAATCCAGGAGGCGGAGGTGTGGTGAGCTGAGGTCTCATCATTGCAGTCCAGCCTGGGAGACGGGACGAGACTCCGTGTCAAAAAAATATATATGAAAATAAAAAATTGGCCGGGCGCGGTGGCTCAGGCCTGTCATCCCAGCACTTTGGGAGGTCGAGGCGGGTGGATCACGAGGTCAAGAGATCGAGACCATCCCGGTCTACATGGTGAACCCCTTGCAGATGGCGCAGGCCCAGGTGAAGACCTCCTGCATCGTGGCAGGTGTGTGTGTGGGGGGCTGCAGGGGGGAAGTTCGGTGGTGTCCGTGGCACCCTGACCGGTCAGTTCTCACCAACATGACCCTCTACGCTATTTGGGTTTTTTTTTGGGGGGGGAAGACAACTCACTCTGTCCCCCAGGGTGGATTGCAAGGGCACGATCTCAGCTCACCGCAACCTCCACCTCCCGGGTTCAAGCCATTCTCCTGCCTCAGCCTCCAGAGTAGCTGGGATTACAGGCGCCTGCCGCCACGCCTGGGGGATTTTTGTATTTTTAATAGAGATGGGGTTTTACCGTGTTGGCCAGGCTGGTCTCGAACTCCCGGCCTTGGCATCTGCCCGCCTCGGCCTCCCAAAGTCACAGGCATGAGCCACCGTGCCCGTCTGTCAGGTGTTTCAAGGACGGTGTGTGGAGTTTCTAGGACGGTGTGTGGAGTTTCTAGTCACAGCGCACACGGGAGGACACAGACACGTCCACGTCACCAGCGTGTGCTCCACGGGCTCCCACGGCAAGTGAGGACACCCCGGAAACTTAAACAACAGGATGGCTCCTGTCCTCACAGTGGAGAGCAGGAGTCTGAGATCAAGGTGTCTCAGGCTGGGCTTGCTCCTTCCTGCCTCTGACACCTACAGGGTAGACTGAGGCAGGAGATGTGCTTGAACCCGGGAAGGCGGAGGTTGCGGTGAGCCGGGTTCGTGCCACCGCACTCCAGCCTGGGCCACAGAGCGAGACCGTGTGTCAAAAATAAAAGTCAAACGTAGGCCTGGGGCGGTGGGTCACACCTGTGATTCCAGCACTTTGGGAAGCCGAGGCGGGTGGATCACGAGGTCAAGAGATCGAGACCAGCCCGGTCAACATGGTGAAACCCCGTCTCTACTAAAAATACAAAAAATTAGCTGGGCACGGTGGCGTGTGCCTGTAATCCGAGCTACTGGGGAAACTGAGGCAGGAAAATTGCCTGAACCCAGGAGGCGGAGGTTGCGGTGAGCCGAGATCGCGCCATTGCACTCCAGCCTGGGTGACAAGAGAGAAACTCCGACTTAAAAAAAAGAAAAAAAAAAAGGCAGGAACGGGAAATATGCAATGGGAAAAGTCATTTAAATAACTAACGTCACCTCCCTGGACATGAAGGATTTTTGCAGTTTTGAAATCAGTTCACACTGCGGCGTTTAAAGGCGTCAGACCCCTCTGATCTGTCTTGACTGTTTGATACATAAAACTGACATAAAGGGAGCATATATATATATATATATATATATAATTTATTTATTTACTTTTTTTCTTAATACAGACGGAATTTCTCCATGTTGGTCGGGCTGGTCTCGAACTCCTGACCTCGGGTGATCCGCCCACCTCCGCCTCCCAAAGTGCTGGGATGACGGGCCTGAGCCGCCTCGACTGGCCTGAAGAGGAGCTTTGTATTGAAAACTGCCTTCGCCTCGCGCGCTCCCGCAGTACGCACGCTCGCTCCCGTGCTCGGGGGCGCGCACCCCGCAACCCTCCCGTCCCCGGTGCCTCCCACTGCGCAGGCGCAGTCCTATCCCCCCCCCCCCCCCACAGCCCCGCCCGCTCACACATCTCCCGGCCTGAGGCTCGCGCCCCGCGGGCAGGCACTGCGCGTGCTCATCGCACCAACCTCCCGAACGCCTCGTCTCTACCGGCACGCACGGCGCATGCTCCATGCCCAGGGTTCCCCTCCCCTCCCTGTGGCAGGCAGGGACTGCGCATGCTCGCGTCTCCGCAGCTGTTCAGGCCCCTTCGCCGCCATCGGCCGCGCCTCTAAAAATACTAACCGCCAAAAGATCTCTGGCTGCATGGCCGCCACAGCGTCTCCCCCGTTCTCACCGCAGCCGCTTGGACCCCAGCAAAGCCTCCTGCAAAGGCTCCGAGGTCCGCGGATGGCGTGCGGCACCGTCGCGTCGTGATGACGTCGTCGCGATGACGCGACGCAGTGACGCAACGCGGGCGCCCATGTTTGGGAGCGCGTCCGGCGCGCCCGTTTTGAAGCTCCTTTGAGCAGCGCGGGCAGGACCGCGCCCCCCTCTGCAGGGTCCCCGCGCCCCGCGAGTCCCCGCAGTTGCCGAGTCGTGGGTTCTGTTCCCCGGCGCCGGGCCCCGCATCGTCGAGGGTCGTCCGGGCGGAACCGAAGCGCCCGGGGACGGGCGGGGCGTGTGGGGGAGTCTGGGGGCGCCCCGGGCCCAGCCCCCGCCATGCCGCCCGGGAAGATCCTGCAGCCGGTGCTGAAGATGAAGGTGGACGAGCTGTTCCTGTGCTGGCTCAGCGAGGCCGGCACGCAGCGAATGCTGCAGGACTGTCTGCGCCGGATCAAGGCGCCCCCGCGAGACCAGCCGGCCACGGGGGACGTGGAGCTGCCCGCAGCCCCGCCCGCCACCCCCAGATCCAGCGGGCTCGACCCCCCGGGGACCCCCGGCCCGGGCCCCGCCCTGCCCCTGGGCGCCGCCTGCAGCCCCAGGAACGCGCCCCACGCTCGAGGCACCCGTAGATCGGCAGGCACGAGGGTAGTAAGTTTCCCCTTCCTTTTGCTGACACCCGCGCACGTGGCTCTGGCCGCAGAGTGGGGGAGGCTGGCGGGAGAGCGTGAGACCCCAGAACGGTTTAATAGTCAGTCTCTCCACCCGTCCCCCCCGCCCCCATCCAAAGTCCCACGTAGTGAACATTCCGTCACTGAGTCACACAATTGATGAATGTGGGGCGATCTCGGCTCACCGCAACCTCCGCCTCCCAGGTTCAAGGGTTTGTCCTGCCTCGGGCTCCCCGAGTACCTGCCATGCGTGACAGGCACGCGCCACCATGCCCGGGTCATTGCTTTATTTTTGGTAGAAACGGGGTTTCACCGTGTTAGGCAGGCTGGTCTCGAACTCCTGACCTCACGTGATCTGCCCACCTCGGCCTCCAAAGTCCTGGCATTACAGACATCAGCAGCCGTGCCCGGCCCCTTTTTTAATGTTATTTTTTTTATTTATTTTTTTGGACACAGGCTCTTGCTCTGTCTCCCAGGCAGGAGTGCAGTGGCTCAACTACAGCTCGTCTTCCTGCCTCAGTCTCCCCATTAGCTGGGATTATAGGCGTGCACCATCACGCCCCGCTTTTTTTTTTTTTTTTTTTTTTTGAGATGAGGGCTTGCCATGTTACCCAGACAGCTCTGGACCTCCTAGGCCCAATCAGTCCTCCCTCCTTGGCCTCCCAAAATACTACTTTATTTCTTTTTTTTTTTTTTTTTTTTTTTCTTTTGAGACGGAGTCTTGTCTGTCTCCAGGCTGGAGTGCCGTGGCGTGATCTGTGCTCACTGCAACCTCTGTCTCCTGGGTTCAAGTGACTTCCCCTGCCTCACCCTCCTGAGTAGCTGGGACTCCAGGCTTGTGCCACCACGCCTGGCTAATGTTTTCTATTTTGCTAGAGACGGGGTGTCACCGTGTTGACCGGGGTGATCTCCATCTGCTGACCTCGTGTTCCGCCCGCCTCGACCTCCCAAAGTGCTGGGATTATAGGTGTGAGCCCGTGTGCCCAGCCTATACTACTGTATTTCGTAGAAGAAATGCCACGTATTTCTTAGAAGGTGATTATTCACTGCAGGTCAGAAGCGCAGCCTCTATGTAAGGCACCTGTAATCTCAGCTACCCGAGAGGCTGAGGCAGGAGAATCACTGGAACCTGGGAGGCGGAGGCTGCAGTCCAGCCTGGGCAACAGAGCAAGACTCTGTCTCAAAAAGAAAAAAAAAACCCAAAAAGATTTCTCTTGGCCAAGGATCAAGAGCGGGGGGCTCTGTTTGCTCGGTTTCGGGGGCTTCGGGTTTTACTTTTAATTTACACAGTTACGGTCCCAGGCTGGTCTCAGAGTTTCTTTCCAGTGCTCTATGTTGCTTTTTGTGACCTGCTTCTGGGCTGCGTCTCCTGCTCGGCTGGGTTAATGAACCTGGGATGTAATCCCAGCACTTTGGGAGGCCGAGGCGGGTGGATCACGAGGTCAAGAGATCAAGACCAGCCTGGCCAACGTGCTGAAACCCCATCTCTACTAAAAATACAAAAATTAGGCCGGGCGCGGTGTCTCAAGCCTGTAATCCCAGCACTTTGGGAGGCCGAGGAGGGTGGATCACGAGGTCGAGATATCGAGACCATCCTGGTCAACGTGGTGAAACCCCGTCTCTACTAAAAATACAAAAAAATTAGCTGGGCATGGTGGCGCGTGCCTGTAATCCCAGCTACTCTGGAGGCTGAGACAGGAGAATTGCCTGAACCCAGGAGGCGGAGGTTGCGGTGAGCTGAGATCGCGCCATTGCACTCCAGCCTGGGTAACGAGCGAAACTCCGTCTTAAAAAAAAGAAAAAATATACAAAAATTAGCTGGGCTTGGTCGCAGGCACCTGTAGTCCCAGCTACTCGGAAGGCTGAGGCGGGAGAACGGCTTGAACCCGGGAGGCGGAGGTTGCAGTGAGCCAAGACACTGCCACTGCACTTCAGCCTGGGCGACGGAGCAGACTCCATCTACAAAAAAAAAAAAATACGTCCGTTTATTTAGTTGTTCTTTAATTTTTGGAAGCTTTGCAGTTTTGGTATCCAATTAACCCATGATTTTTATCAGACCACATGCCTGCATTCTAGAACGTTAGAACGGGCTATTTGGAGATAAACACGTGTGTGTGTCTGTGTGTACGTGCGATGCATATGCACACACAGATGCATACACACATACAGGTGCACACACATAGGTGGATACCCAGGTGGATACACATACATAGGTGCATGCACACACATAGCTACACATGCACATGGGAATACACACACAGGTGGATACACACGGTGCACACACACAGGTACATACGCACATACTGCATACGCAGGTGCATATACACAGGTACACACAGGTGCATACACACAGGTACACACATAGGTACACACAGGTGCAGACAGGTGGATACACACACAGTTGGTGCATACGCACACGTGCATACACACAGGTGCATTCATACACAGGAGCGCACACACAGAGGTACACGCACACACAGGTGCATATGCTCACATAGGTACAGACACACCACCAGGTGCATACAGACATACATACAGGGGTATACACTCACATAGGTAGATACACACACATAGGTGCATTACCCAGGTGCATACACACAGGTACATACACACATAGATGTGTGCATACACACAGTTGTATACACAGATACAGGTGCACACACAGGTGAGTATACACATTGGATACACACGCATAGGTGCATACACACATAGGTACATGCACACACACATAGGTGGATACACACAGGTGCAGACAGGTGGATACACACACATGTAGGTGCATACGCACACAAGGGCATAGACACGTAGGTGGATATACACATTGGATGCACACACATAGGTGCACACATAGGTACATACACTGGGCGTACACACAGGTACACACAGGTGGATACACACACATAGGTGCATACTCACACATAGGTACATACGCACACGGGGCATACACACAGGTGCACACACATACACACGGGGCATACACAGGTACATCCATAGGTGGATACACATAGGTGCTTACTCACACATAGGTACATACATGGGGCATACACATGGGCACACACACAGGTACACACATAGGTGGATACACACACATAGGTGCATGCACACATAGGTACATATGCACATGGGCATACACAATACAGCTACACACTTAGGTGGATATACACACATAGGTGCATACACACAGGTGCATACACAGATACAGGTGCACACACTCAGGTTAATACCCACAGTGCATACACATACATGGGTGCACACGTAGGTGCATACACAAGGGCATACACATGTAGGTGAATATACACATTGGATACACACATAGGATACACAGGTACGTACACATGCGGGGCATACACATAGATGCAGACACAGGTGTATACACACGTAGGTGCATACACAGGAGCACACACACATAGGTGGATACACAGGTACATACACGGGCATACACACAGGTGCAGACACAGGTAGATACACACACGTAGGTGCATACACACATGTGCATCCACACAGGTGCATGCACATACACATAGGTGGATACACACACAGGTACATACACACGGGGCATACACACCGGTGCATGCACATACATACAGGTACACACATACACAGGTGCATACACAGACATGTATACACATACATACAGGTACACACACACGTGCATACACATACATACAGGTACACACATACACGTGCATACACATACATACAGGTACACACACACGTGTATACGCGTACATACAGGTACACACACAGGTGCATACACGTGCATACACATACATACAGGTACACACAGGTGCATATACATACAGGTACACACACAGGTGCATACACATACATACAGGTACACACATACACAGGTGCATACACACACGTGCATACACATACATACAGGTACACACATACACGTGCATACACATACATACAGGTACACACACATGTGTATACGCGTACATACAGGTACACACACAGGTGCATACACATACATACAGGTACACACAGGTGCATATACATACAGGTACACACACAGGTGCATACACATACATACAGGTACACACATACACAGGTGCATACACACACGTGCATACACATACATACAGGTACACACATACAGGTGCATACACACACGTGCATACACATACATACAGGTACACACATACACAGGTGCATACACATACATACAGGTACACACATACAGGTGCATACACATACATACAGACACACAGGTGCATACACATACATACAGGTACACACACAGGTGCATACACATACACACAGGTACACACATACACACACAGAGGTGCACACACACACACACACAGGTGTGCTCATCTTAACGTTTCATCAGAATTCCTGATGCAAGACAGAGAAGCACCCAGAACCCTCAGGGTGGGGGCTCAGGGTTTCTGAAGGTTTCCTTCGGGAGT